TGGCTCATCAGGCCAGCGTTTATCTCCGGTTTCAGTAGCATGAAACGACTGAGAATATTTCTACTCCCCCTGGATGGGATGCTAGTCCATCGCAGGTTACTCCCCAGCTAATGCCGGTACCCATTTATACTCCTGGGTGGAGAGGGACAAGTGGGGTGAAGTGCCTTGCCCAAGGACACAATATATGATTCGAACCCCGGACCCTCTGATCATGAGTCACGAACCCTAACCATTAGACCACATACTCCCCTTCATGGCAAGTATATAGATGGCACTTTTTGACCTCTTTTGAGAACCCAGTAAACAGGACACGACTATAGTATGTTTGTTTGTTTGTTTACTCGTCAGTTGGCCGGGATATAGCCCGCGAAAGTCTTTCGAGCTTACTTCCAGTAGGGTCCCTTGGTAGAAGATGTGGAAGGAAATAGTTTTAGTGGTGGGAGGAAAACCCAGAATGATATATGCTTATACTATAGGGAAAGCCCACGGAATCAGGCAGGGACTGAAAACCCAATCCACATGTTGGCCCAGGTAGGATTCGAACTGGGGTCACAGCGGTGGAAGGCGAGGAAAGTGCCGCTACACCAATCTGTTCCCACATGTGCACAAAGCCGTATAGCGTCTTCGCGTGAGCGTCGGGTGTCGTTGGCAATGCGTTGGAATGTCTCTCCCAGTGGTCTCCCCCAACTCTCCCTTTCTTACCGTTGAGGGGGTACTTGTGCATGGAGCCCAAAGGCCCGTTCAGACCTGGGGCCAATTTCACGGTGCTGCTAAGCACAAACATTTGATTAGCGCAAAAAAAGTCTGGCTTAAAAAAGCAGGTTACCAGCCAAAACTCCATGTGATGTATATTGCTCGTGATTAGTATTCAGCTGTTGTTTGCTGTAGCATGAAAATCACATGGGGTTTTGGCTGGTAAACTGCTTTTATAAGCCAGGTTTTTTTTGTGCTAAGCAATTTTTTTTTTACTTAGCAGCGCCGTTGGGCCCAGAACTGAACGTAGAGGAAAAATTGAACTTATGCAAATTTCGCTGTGAAAAAGTTGAAATTTGTTTCTCTTTGACAAAGTTGCCGTGTGTACACTACTACCTATACATATTTTGTAAAGACTGCCCTTTTCCATTCAAATGCCCTTTCTTCACCAGCGCTTAACCCCCCCATTTTTTTTTAAAGAGTGCCCTTTTTTTTAACAAGTGCCCTTTTTTCCGGAACAAGTGCCCTTTTTAAGAAGAAGTCGTGCCCTTTTTTTGTGTGCAATCGGCCGTTACGGGTGCCTGTGTTTGAATTTCACGCATGTATCGCTCTGAAAAGCACATATATTGTCCATTAGTGTGCATAATCGTCGGCTTTGAGCAGCAATTTTTACGCCCCCCCAATAAAAATTACCTTGCTACGCCGCTGCTATACCATGATGTCACAAATTCACTTAAAATTGTATTCATTTTGGTGCTGATATGAACCTGCCATTTTCTAACAAAAATACAAACTTTTTTTAACGAGAATTCATCATTATTAAAATACATTGTACGTGTATGAGAACATTAAATAGTAACATCTGTAGACAATAGACATGCTTTCATGACATGTGCACATATGACCCGTACTTTTACCACGAATGCAGACATGTCATAAATTAAAAGGAAAAAAAATTATTTGACAAGACTTCATATTTTATACAGAAATGTAGTTTGTTAAATATTAACATCTGCAGACATTCCTACATTGCCCCGTACTTTTCCACACCTGCATATATTGAATACCAGTAAACAAACAAAACTGTATATGTATGTGTAAATAAAGTAAATATCGGTGATTGGCCAAAAAAAGAAAATGATATGGATTGCGTCGCATTGCACATATAGACACATACAGTTCTGAACATTGCTCATCATTGTGGTAAATACAGCGGTTTGGATGAATACGGTCGTTTTGTTTTCCGATGCTTTCGACCATTTTTAAAGAACTGGATTACTTCGAATCTAGCAAAGCTGAAGCAGTCGCAGGAATTTTGTTCTTCTTTTGACAACATGTCATGCTTCAACGTACGTTGTACATCATAGCGCAGTGTCGAAAGCTCAGCAACATTGGAGACGTGACAACATTCGTGTCATGAATGTACATGTACATGTTCCATATGTGCACATAAGCAAAAGCTTGACAGGTGAGCATGGTGAGGTACGGTCAGACGTTAGTTTTGCATGGATCCTGTCCTTAATTTTCCTCCTTCAAATTTCATCATAGGGGTTTTGGAGGATTTGTGTATATATGAGCATGTACATGTATGTATGAATACTACGTCTTTTGGGCTTGATACCCCTTAAAATGTACAATATTATTAACCCTAACTTCCAAAATCCTCCAAAATCCTCTTAAGTAAATGGAGGATTTTGCAGGATTGAGGTTATATCGCGGAAGTGTGTGGCTGATTTGGAAGACGCACTGTGTCAAGGTCTTAGGCTGGATGTTTTTATGCTCGGCCGTGATACATTTAGGCCTAGATTGTACTTGAAATCCTCCGCACTGCTCCAGGATGTCACTGGCTCTACCTCAACATATTGACAGTGATTGCTGGAGGATTCTGCAGGATTGAGGCAGTGGTCACCCCTCCAAGGACCACATTCAAGAAATAACAGAGGATTTGGAGGATTGAGGCTGCATGCAATTTTGACATGGAGGCAGTTGGAGGATTTTGCAGGATTGAGGTTACATCCTAGCAAAAATGCCAGGGAGTTTGGGTATTTATTTCTGGTAATGAAACCAAGGATTTTTCAAGGGCACTATATAGCTCACAAGCATGAAGAAACGTGTAGAGAGGAGACAATGAGAAGAAATTCTAGTTTTAGAGGAGGGAAGAAAACCCCAGAAGAATATTCTGGGAAAACCCACGGAATCAGGTAGGGAAAACCCAATTCACATGTGGACCAGGACAGGAATCGAACCCTGACCGTAGAGGTGGAAGGCGAGGACAAGAACCACTGCACCAACCTGACTCCCCACTTTGCTGCGTTGGTTGAGTACACAGCACAGAATTTTTAAAATGAGAATTTTTCCTAACAAAAAGGCCTTGAAAGGTATTAACATTAATTTTACCCTCTTAAATGTTTGTGGAATACTATCACTACAGACATTGCTTTTTTGTATAAATTAAATACCTTGTTTCTCTTTCAGTATTCTAAAGTAATTTTTTCCAGGACTATTTTGAGAGATCACTTTATTTGCTAATAAATAAATTGTAGAAAGTAAATATTAACAGAATTTGTTTTCATTTTTCTCCCACTGATTGCTAAACATTCTGTCGAAATTAACGTAAAATATTAAAATTCAACTGTTTGGAAATTATGCAGTAGGCCTATACATTCATTGTGATATCTTGCATGTTCACAGTTCACGCTTCCCTTGTATTGTGCAGTGTGCACATGTGTACATGCACAAGTACAACAAAAACCCTCCCTGGACCAGAAGAATGAGCTAGCAGAGAATGGCCAGAGAAAAAAAATCAATCAATTATGCAAATGAGACACAGAGCACCCCAATGTGTCAGACTAGCTGCTGGCCATAATGGGACATGTGTGTGTGTTAGGGGAGATCCCTTAAGCTATAATGCACTGCACGATTTAGTACAATATAGGCCCCCCTCAGATCACCATACTCACCAGTCTTTGCCTATTGATTTTCTTTTCCTTTTTTTGTCTTGTGGATCCTGGGAGGGCTTGCCCTTATTGTACTCAGGAGCACAAGTGTTGGGCACGTTCTTATCTCTATACTGATCCCCAAAAAAATGCATACGCATGTGCCTACGATGGGTTGGGTATTTTTTTTCTTTTTCTGTCATTATTTTTTCGATGTTTTGAATACATTGCTGCTTTAAAAATTGAAGCCAAGAAAGAAAATACATTTTAAATAAAAAGTAAATAAAAGTAAAAATTAAAGTAGCTAAAGTATTCTGATGGGATAAAAAATTGAACACTGAAACGTTGTGAATGTTTAAAGTAAAACTGTGTTGTCAGTAGTTTGTTTTTTCGTTGTTAGTATGGTTATGGTGTTTGATTGATATGCAACAGTACATGGATTCGAACCTTGAAGAGGAAAATGCATGGTGTTTGTGTCCTTGGGCAAGACACTTTACTCCAATCAGTATAAATAGGAATACTGTATGAAGGTAGAGATCAGATAGTGCTGATCTCAAGCTGCTGCTAAACACAGGTCTCATGTCCTAGAGAGCAGGGGTAACAGAAGGATTGCAGTGTTTTTGTTCTTAGGCAAGACACTTTATTACAATTTCCTCTCTCCACCAATGAGTACAAACAGGCACACATCAGGGTAGAGACCAGATTGCACTGATCTTGAGCTGTTGCAGAGTGCAGAAACTGGTCTCATGGCCTGTGGAATGGACGTAACGGAAGGGGACCACTGTGCTTGTGTTCTTGGGCGAGACGCTTTACTACAATGTTCTCTCTCTCAAAACAGGCACCATGACCCAATGCACGAGGGTAGAGATCAGATTGCACTGATCTTGAGCTGCTGCTGGAACTGGTCTCATGGCCTGTCTGACAGAGGTATTGAAGGGGATCACTGTGCTTGTGTTCTTGGGCAAGACGCTTTACTACAATATTCTCTCTCTCCCTGCCCAGGAGTACAGACAGGCATCCATGACACAGTGTATGAGGGTAGAGATCAGATTGCACTGATCTTGAGCTGCTGCTGGAACTGGTCTCATGGCCTGTCTGACAGAGATATTGAAGGGGATGACTGTGCTTGTGTTCTTGGGCAAGACGCTTTACTGCAATATTCTCTCTCTCTCTCTCTCTGCCCAGGAGTACAGACAGGCATCCATGACACAATGCATGAGGGTAGAGACCAGAATGCGCTGATCTTCAGCTGCTGCAGAAAACTAGTCTCATGGTCTGATGAACAGGACCATTGTGAGGCCCTTCAAGCATCATACAATGTACCTGTACATGTAACATCATTCTTTTATTTTTTTTCTTCCAACTTCTCAGAGCCTTGAAGGACGACCTTGACCGAGTCCAGCAGACCACCCAGGCCGTGGCCACAGAGACCAAAGCCAAGGGTACCCCAGCCCAGAATGGCGCCGTCTGCCAGATCTGCCACAAGACCAAATTTGCCGACGGCGTGGGCCACTCCTGCAGCTACTGTAACCTCAAGTCCTGCGCGCGCTGCGGCGGCCGGGTCACGCTACGCTCCAACAAGGTGAGGCTAAGTTTCTTCGTGCCCCGAATCCCATCCTGCCTTGGGAACATTGGCGCAGCAGACCAAGAAAATTCCAACGCTGGCGCTTTGTTCAACCTGATGCGCAAGCGTGAGGTATGCTTGGAAGTTCCCAAGACAAGATTTGTCGATAGAACCCTTTACTACATGGGTGTCTTGACCCACATTCATCTTGGGTCGACTTGCGGAAGTTCCCAAGACTAGATTTGTCGATAGAACCCTTTACTACATGTACATGAATATCTTGACCCACATTCATCTTGGGTCGACTTGCGGAAGTTCCCAAGACAAGATTTGTCGATAGAACCCTTTACTACGTGGGTGTCTTGACCCACGTTCATCTTGGGTCGACTTGGGGAAGTTCCCAAGACTAGATTTGTCGATAGAACCCTTTACTACGTGGGTGTCTTGACCCACGTTCATCTTGGGTCGGCTTGGGGAAGTTCCCAAGACGAGATTTGTTTATAGAACCATTTACTACATGGGTGTCTTGACTCACGTTCCCAAGACCAGGGATCGGACCCGCCCCATGTAGGGACTAGTATACCAAGACTAAAGGCACGGATCACAGAAGTCTTTTTTTTTAAATTAATGTCTACACCCCAAAAGATATCGCTTTCTCCCATTATAATGCTTGCAGAATGTAAACATTGACAAATTTGGACATACTGCAAACGTTTGAGTGAGCCATAAACCTTTTCACGAGGAAGCCATTTTGATCATGTTCCCTGAATTTTATTTACACATTATACGCGCTTTTGTCGCGCGATAATGGGCACCGAAGATGTACAATAACAACCATTATTATTATCATTGTTGATCAATGACGTTATTTCATTATCATTAGAGCATAGAGTAATGTTTGCGAAGCACAAACCGACCCACATAACGAGAGCGAACTGAGTAAATTCTGTTTCCTTGTTACCATGGTAATTGGATGTGCGTCATTACTGTCATATTCATGAATACTTTTCTCCTTTGATGTTCAAGCCGCCCGAAAAAACACCATCTTCGGTCCGACCAAAGGTACAACCAAACCCAAAATCCTGCGAATTTCTCTTAATCCGTTTGTTGATTTTTATTTGTTGATTTTAACCCCTCAATCTTGTGTATTCTGCGTTTGAATATTAACCCCGACTTTTGTAGTTTCTTTTTCCTTTTTAATTGATGTATTCTTTGTTTCCTTTGTTTGAATTTTTAATTTGTATTCACTTTGAAAAGTGTGTTATATTAGTCACTTCTCTTTCCCTTGGTGCACGCAAACGCCCTCTATTGACAACTTTACACCATGCCCCATGCCTTTAAACTGCACACATGCGAAGAACTATAATGTATATTTAATTGTTTGTAAAGACTCAAGTTTTGCACACATTTTATTTGGCCTTTTCCGTTTTCTTTTTAATGTTCTTATTGTAACGTCATTCACTGATTCCAGTGTTTCAGAAAGATTAGTCCTTTCTGTGTTTCCAACACTCTTTTGAACCCCAGCGTGTACCAGTCTATGCAAATGTATGTTTCTACTTATCCCAAATCTGTAGTTTTTTTATCGTACATGTAGTAACGTTATGAAAAGTTGTGGATCAGCACCAGTGCTAAAAGATGGGTACCAGTGTAGACAGGTACCAGTCAGAATAAATTTCCTCTTATTTGGTAGGAACGTAGAGGTTTTATGTAAAATAATCATCCATGTAAATTGTTGACTGGTTAAGACGTCAAGATTGCCTCGAATTGCCTTCGGTTGACGTCTAAACACGCTAATCCCTCATGCCTTTTGTACACGCACACAAAGTCTGTGAAGTCTGTGGAGGCAGACCGTGTGTTGATCTTGAATTGGCCGTTGTGCACGGCCTATTGTTGTAACATTAACGCTCCTACACCCCAGACTTTTGAAACATATGAGGTTTCGGCAAGAGATATCGTACAAATACTGTTGAAATGACTCTTGCGAATCAGTGTTTGTGGCGTTTGGCTGTAAATCAGAAGTTGGCTGGAAAATTTTGCCTTTTGTGAAAATCGAAATTTTCGGCAAAAATAATCCCGGCACAAAGTGGTTCAACAGTCATTTTGTCATTCAATCGGTCAATCAGTCGGTCGGTCAGTCATTAAGCAAACCGACGTTTCAGTTTGTAGTGTTTTAGTTTTTCAGCGAGAATTTATAAATTTGACAGGTGACATTCAAAATGCTCCAAGTCTATCTTCATGAAACTTTACATTAAAAGCCAACTTTCACTACATAAAAACAATTTGAACCAAATTTCACTGTGTGAAACACGGCTGGATTCTTGAATAATTTAAAATTGGTTGTTAAGATGCACTAAATGTATCGTGATCACCTATAATGAACCAACTAAACTCATGTATCATGCATATGTAATGCTTAAATAAATTGATAAAAACGAAAGTCATTTGAAAATAATCTTGTGTACATGTACGTGAACCTGCATTTGGAAAATTAATGATTAATTCTGTTCAAGCAATGCACGGTCTCAAAGTTCACTTCAATGCGACAGTGTGACATTTCCATTTTCAGACCGACACGGCAAATATGTAAATGTCAAGCTCCGAACCGGGAAACGGAGAATCTATTTTAAACAAAATTGGGAAACTCGTTAGAACACGGAGACAATTGAATAATCACATCGTGGCCAGGAAAACTAAATAATCAGAGTTCAATTTCCCCGGCGCTGACATTTACTCTTTTTTTTCCTCCGGTAAACACAAAAAAAATTATGAAAATGTAACTCCTTCACCCAACTGGGCTAAGGTATAATAGAGAAAGACTTAAAAAGGAAAGTGTCACTCTATGGTATTCTGGAGGAAGATTAAAATGCCGTGACCCCGTGGCATTTCGTCGGCAAGGGCTATCGCGGACGGACGACGGCTCGGTCCAAAGAGGCGACACGGGGATCTTGTTTCCGGTGGGGGGTTGATAAGGGAGAGAGGAACGAGGCATGACCAATCGGGGAGCGTAGCCCGACCCCCAAATTGAGGTGTCTTTATATTGGGGTTGGATCCATAAGTGTGCACGTTTTACTCTGATGATGTCATCAGGTATCAAATTAGAATGTACTAGCAATTTTTAATTAGAAAATTGACCAACTTCTTTCATTCATAACTCTCAAACAAGAGAATCAATGATGTTTGTATTTTGTAGTCAGATAGATCATCAATTGATAAATTCCTGTTAAAGTACCCTCAAGCATGTCAAGGAGACATTTTTTTGGTCATAAGTTATACCTTAAGAAGACATCGGACATTTCAATGTCTCCCAAATGTCACATCTCCCACCTAGAGTCACAGTTTTATTTTTTTATTATTTGCTATTTTATTTCTGGTAATGAAACCAAGGATTCCTCAAAAGCACCCTAGGCACTGTAGCTCACAAGCCTGAAGAGGTAGAGCGAAGACAATGAGAAGGAATTACAGTTTTAGAGGTGGGAGGAAAATCCCAGAGGAATATTCTGGGGAAAACCCACGGAATCAGGTAGGAACTCAAAACCGAATCCACATGTTTGCCCAGGCGGGATTTGAACCCAGATCACAGCTGTGGAAGGCGAGCAAAGTACCCCTATACCATCGCAAATAGGCTAGATCGATTGTTTTTTGGTCCAAAACATACATATACCAAAATTCGTGGGGGTAGGATAAGGGGAAATTGGAGTAAGGGGTCAACAGAGTTGAAAACAAATTGTGCAAAACCCTATGGGAATGTCTCCCTATAAGGTACCATTTCTCGTAATAATAACATCTTTTAGTTATCATTGATATCACAATTACCATCATCATAATCATAACCACTAGCACCATACTCATTACAATTTTCCATGATCATGATTTTCCACCGTGACCATTGACAGCCTCTACATTTCCGACATCAACCCCCCCCCCCCCCGCCATCATCACCCCACCGTCAACGTTCCTGTCGTCCTCCTTCTCCTCAGCCATCAACCCTCTCTTAATTATCCCCCCAACCACAAATCCCCACATCCTCGCGAAATCCACCTCCCCGAGATTTCACCGAAAACCCTAAGACATCATCATGTCTCATTTCCTCAGATAACATTAATAAGATTCCCCCAATAAAAACAAAAAAGAAATCACGGCAACTATTATCAAAGACATCTCCAAAAACACGGCGAAGTGTTTTCATTTCGCATAATCGGTAATCCAGCATCAATACGGCGCTGCAGACGGGAGAACCCCGCCGCCAAATTTCTGTCTATTTTTCCCTTCGTTTTTCTGAAATCATTGACAAGAAATTCAGCAGTACTGTAAAATCCCACTCCCAAATTTGTTTCCTTCTTTGTTTTTGCTTTTAATACTGGCTAGAAAAAATTCAGCGGCGTATCGCCGCTTTAATTTCAGAGAGTGAAGGACCAGATGTGTTTTTGTTACATCAGAATGCGTCATAAGCCGTTTGGTCGGACGACCAACACTCTGGCCCGGCAGTGGATGTTAATTAGCCGTAATGGTCTCTCACTTAGGGCACCGGCGGGGTACCGACGATATCCTAATGCATGTTGACATAAAAGACGACATGTTAATTTCATATCCGTTGCCGGTCGCGTTAACGCCGGGGACGTGGGTTTTTTTCTGTGGGGTTTATGTACAGTGGATACCCTTCACGTTGGTTTTTGTCGTTTGGTCGGGGAGGATAGTGTGATGAGAAGAGAAAATGCAAACGGCATAGGCACAAATGTACATATTTTTATATATTAATTTGCATATTAATTAATTAATTAATTAATAATGCCATCCCTAATTCCTTTTTCGTAACATGCTTAAGATCATCTAAACTTGATTTGTCAAGATTGAATACTATTACCATGCAGATGTCAATTAATTTTTTTTTTTTTTTTTTTTTACTTTTCGACAAAATAGGAACATCAAACTCCTGTGATTTTATGTTGCCGGGGGACTGTTTAGAATCCCTTAAAAATCATGGAAACCAGAAATTGGATATTTTTAGACAATTTGGGATGGAAATTGGGCAAAATCCTAAAATCTTGATGAATTTGGATAATCTGGAAGGACAATGTATATACCTTGTATGATTATTATTATTATTATTTATTTCTGGTAATGAAACCAAGGATTCCTCAAAAGCGCCCTAGGCACTGTAGCTCGCAAGCCTGAAGAAACCTGTGGAGAGAAGACAATGAGAAGAAATTACAGTTTTAGAGGAGGGAGGAAAACTCCAGAAGAATATTCTGGGGAAACCCACGGAAACAGGTAGTGACTGAAAAGTGAAACCACATGTGGCCAGGGCAGGAATCGAACCCGGGCCACAGCGGTGGAAGGCGAGGTAAGAGTTCCTGCGCCAACCTGACAATGATTACAAGTGTACCCTACTCAGCTTCGAGCTGTGCCAAATATGCTGAATATTCGATCATATCTGAATAGCAGGTTTTTTTTTCCTGATTCAAATTATTTGAAAAATGTGCAGGGTCTCGAGGAGATGGTGAAAAACTTCCACTGTCATTTTAATCGTATAAGTTGCGTAGTTTCCTTTTTGTCAAGTGCCACATTTTTTTGAAACCCACTTTCTTGCATGATTTTATACAGGTATTTTAGATCATTTGCAGCTATCTGAAAAGTAACTGACCAAATTATTGTTCAACTTACTTGGTTGAAAGAGTAATTTTATGGCACTAAACTCCCTGTGAAATTATTCTTTCTGGCATGCTGTCATTTTGAAGAAAACAATAAAAGAAGGCCATTTCCAAAGATTTGTCAAGTGAGGCATTTTTGGAAAATTGCCGTTAGTACATGTAGTTGATTTGTAATTTGGCGAATCCGTGAATGGGTGCACGCAAGTGTTGGCACAACGCACACACGCGAGCACGGTTGCTGCTATTGGTCAGTTCAGTGTGTGACATCGCGTACATGTAGCTGCAATCGGCTGAATGAGAACATGTCCCAGACGCTGATTTCGGGGGCAATTCAAAACATGACTTGGCAACTTTTGAATTGAAACTGAGATCCTAGAATATTGTTTTATTCTCAGAATATACAGCATTCACAGA